ACTGATGTAACAACTCTACTAGGTACTCGAAGCTTTCATCAATTTATACATCTTGGAGATAATAGGGTTGGGGCGAAGAGATGTAGTACAGACACTAAATATACAATAATTCACAATCTTAAAAAGAAACATATATTTGAACCTGATACTGTCACTTTAGGAGGTTATGTTGCGGTAGTTTATGATGATAAGTGGTGGATCGGCATTGTAACTGAAATCAACCTAGAAGAAGTTGATGCTGAAGTTAAGTTTCTCCACCCAAGAGGTCCATCAATCTATTTTAACTGGCCTGAAAGAGACGACCACTGTTTTATTCCTAACATCAATATATTGAAAAAACTATCTGTTCCACAAGCTTGCTCTAGTTCTGGTAGAAACTATGTGTTTGAAAATGTTGAAATAGAAGAAGTGCAAGTAAAATGGCAACAATATTGTGAACTATTACAAATACAGTCAAAATAACTTGCACATTCGATACCTTTAAAAATCTTGTATATTTAAGTAACTTTGTAAATTAGGAATAATTTATTTTAATTGAATTTATAAATATTTTTTAGGAATTTCTTAAAAAAGTTATACATCTTTAAAATTAAATTTCTATATGTTTCAGTTTTTTTTCCAGTTAGATTTTTTGTGCCTAGTAAGATTATAACTAGCTTAAAATATTGAAAGCAAAAAAAAAAAAAAATTTGACGGGGGTGTTTTGAGATATTGGGCCCTAAAGTTAGATTATATAAACTAGTTGATTTATTAATTTTTAAGGATGTTCCTCTAACATTTCAGCATTTTAAGTACATTTATTGAATTCCGCATTAAAAAACCATTATAAATATATATTTTTATATTTTTTGCCATTTTTATTTCTTATTTTATTGAGGAAAACAACTTTTCAGAATGTTATGAAAACCGGGTCATTTTGAGAAACCAGGTCCAAATTAAATTTGCTGTATCTTGTCAACCGCTTGACATTTTTAGCTGAAATTTTGCATGCAATATTTTTTTATAAATAGGAATCATGTGTCAAAATATAAAACAAAAAGAAGACATATGGTTCAATGGAGTGGGTGATTTGATGTGGAATTACCCTTAAGATAAATTTATACTTAGAGATAAAATTAAATTAGAAATAAAGCAACAATGAACAAAGCAACTAACAGATTAATCTGGGACTATTTTGATATTAATGAAAATAATCAACATAAACAACATTACCAACAGCAACTATCAAATAAACAACACAATATCGCATAATTTTAGGGGCTTTTTATTTTTATTGCTTAGTCGTTCTAAATAATAAGTAAATTTAGTTCAAGTTAATATTTCAATATTTACAGTTGCAATATAATATAGAAATGATGTTTAACGCTGAACTTTTTATTTAATTATTAATTTTTTGCCTACATTTATTATTAAAAACTTTTAAACCCCCGTCATTAAAATAATTTGTTTTGAATATATTTCAAAATGATTATTCAAACTAATTTTTTTCGCTTGACTTCCTGAACTTCATGCAAAGCAAATTGAGACGAAATATTATCTAACCAAATAAAAATGCTTTTACTAATTTTATAAGGGTAAATAATGTTAAACATTTTTTTATCAGAGTCTTAATTGAGATAATAAATATTCATAATTTATAAACATTAAATATATAGCGCAATAACAATTTATAGCAACCAACCAGCATAATATATTTAAGGTTTTTAATATCTTTTTAAATATTCAATAATATACAAAAAAACTTCGACTAAAAATAAATAAAATTATTTCCAGAGTTTCTTTTGTTAAAAGTCTACCGTGACGTCAAATACTAAAACTTTTATGAATTAAACGCGCCTCAAAGGAATTGCTAAAATCTGTAGATTGCGACGCATAATTTGAAGACTTCGATTTATTGAAAAAATGGAGAAGGCAAGCTTCAGCAAAAACAACAACATTTGTTTTTCACGGTAAGCATTCATTATTTATTTTTAATCAAAAAAACTTGGTTCAAACCTTTTTTTTTAACATTATCTTTAATATGAACACAACATGTGTCGGGAGTTTGGGATCCCTTTAAGTTCAATGTCATGATAATAATGTTTACCGTTTGTTTTTTTGATTTGTGAAAGAAAATCTTTAACTCTAGGCAAATTTTCAAGACTTTTTTTCTCAAATAATTCCCATCTTTCCTTTGCTTTTGTAAGACAGTTCATTACTCGAACTTGATTAACTTAATCATCCTGAAAAGACTGTGAAAGAATTGAGAGAATCTCAAGTAAATCGATAAAAAATACAAAAAGAAGTGGTATTTTTCCTTTTTTTCATTCTAGGAGATACCGTTTCATTTTAGCTTTGTCAGAAGCTAAAATCGATGGATCTTTAGCTAATTGTTCAAGATGGGTAATGTATAAACCCCATTTGTCAAGGAAAGACTTCATGGCATTAACTTTATAAGAAATTCATAGTGTTCCAGATGCTTTTTTAGGCTTGCAACTTTCATCAAGCGTATCCATCCCGTCTTTTAAAACAGTATATAATTTGTGAAGCTGTTGGAGCTAAAAAGTAAAACCAATGAATTTAATAGGTGTTAGCAAATTTACAAGGCATTCTTCTAAAACCTTTACAACACCTAGGGCTTTTCCAGATTCCAAATGTTTTATATCTAAAAACGAAGTCCTGATTTAAACCGCATCCAAAACAACTGGCTGTGGATCAAAATATAATGCATACACCACTTCATTTTCAATTACCGAACTGTCTGTTGAACCATCACACAATACACTATAAAATTTAGCATTTCTAAGGCTATCGTGTAACGAATTATGCAGACTTTTTGCAATATAGTCAATAAATATAACGCATTGGCAATCTGAAATATAGGATTCGCCCATATTCACACAAAAAATCTCAACTAATTTAATTAGATGTAACTGTTGTTTCGCTATAAAGTAAGAAAGTTGAAATTTTTTGAGGGTTTTTTCAAGGTTGTTTTTTTCCATTTTTTTCAAACCATCAGTGATTGTTGCGTTATTTTTACAGGGCAATAAAGGTTTAGAGGCATTTAAACTATTAGATTTTTTAAGAAAAAGAGTGTATGCTTTTAAGTGCGGTTAAGACTTACAATGATAAAAAATATTTGATTTTCTATAGTTTGCTGATCCAATTATGAATGTATTTGTAAAGTATGGCATAGTTTTTATTGTATCATTAAACTCTCTACAAAACTTACATTTTAAGTTTTTTACTTTTTCATTTGAATCAATGTCATAAAATAGTCATTTGCTAAGTGAATACTCAGGGAGCTCCGACTTCCAAGTTTCTACTGCCGATACTAATACTTTACAAGGATTTGCCGTCATCTTATTTCTTCTTTGGCATTTTTTTAATGTATGGACTGTTCTAAAAGTGGTTTAAACAAAGAAAATATAGTTTTTTGAATATTTTTTTATTAGTGGCTCAACTGTTAAACACTTTGAACATAAGGCAATTCTCTTAATTTTCTCCACTATAAGATAAGTTGACAGTTTTTCCCGGAGTTGCACAAATATTACAAACAAAAACAGCACATTTCATGCACGTATACTTTGTATTTCTTTGACGACAAACTGAGCAAACTGCTTCCATTTTTTTTATAATATCACGCCCTAGGTTGGAATAATGACAACACATTATCATTATAAATATTTTATTAATATATTTATTGTTAAATTTATAAAATAAAAACTTTCACAAAAACCATTCACAAAATTGAACAAGATAAGAAATAAGTTTAATTAAAAGTAACAAATAGATTTACCTAAGGAAAATTTCAAATTCAATTCAAGTTTCAAAATCAAATCCACAGTAAACAGAAAACTATTAAAAACGTAACATGTTGTATTAAATTTTATTTTTTACAAAATATTAATAATATTTACGGGAAAGCTATTTTAAAAATTAAAAGAAAAAACGTAACAAAGGTGATGATGTTAAAAAAAGCGTTGCTCATTAAACAAAATTCTTGCGGCATAATATTGTTTCCACTTTTTCTGAATTATCTCAAAGAATGACGAACTTCATCACATTGTGCACACTTTCGTTTTCTTGTGCATTTTTGGTTAAAAAATGAAATAAAAAAGAAAGTATATATATAATATACTTAACATTTCAATAACTTTTAAATAACTAAAATTATTATAAGAAAAATTCACAAAAAATTTTAGTTGGATCCATGCCAGCCTGAATCCAAGAAGTTATGTAAGAAGCACATTTGTCAGAAGGAAGACAAAAGATTTCTACTTAAAGGCCATAACAAAGAAAATCTAATATTTATTAATAAACCCTATGCTGTAACAAAGACTCCAAATGTAGCCTCAACAATACACGCCAAAAGTACGAACATTGACACCATCCATGCGCAACATGGCACTGTTAGTTCTCTAATATTTTACTAATTTTTAATTTTAATTTTTGTCTCTGGTTTTAATACATATTAATACATTTATTAAACATGTTAAACTCATGTTTTGTTTACTGGGAAAATTCAATTACACTGCTTTGTCAAAAAAATGCATAAACACCTGGCAATATAATAACATATTGACAAGAGTTATGAGTGAAAAATAAAGCGCGAACATGCTTTGATAAGATATCAAAACATATTTACACTTTATTTTTTAAAAATTGATCTGCAATATAAAGAAAGTTTTGATGAATATAGTTCCTATATTCCTTATATAACTCTTTACTATTTTTATATTTATTATATTTATTATGTTTTTATATTTATCATATTTTTATATTTATTATATTTTTATATTTTTTTTATTTTTTTTTTAATTTATTATATATATTATATTTCTATATACTATTTAAACATATCCTTCTTCATGTATGAAAAATAAAAAATATTATTTTTCAACAAATCCAAAACTTTAGCATTGCAATGAAATTTTGATCAATCCTAATCTTTAAAAATAACATTAAAATAAAAAAATCATTCCTAATATTTAATACAATCAAAAGAAAAAACCTTGTACCTCAAAACTATTGTTAAAGTTGTTAACACTGCATTCTGCAACACATATTTTGTTGACCATAAATTCTTGTGTTGATTTTGAATTTTTATAACAGATCTTTCCACAATATACCTGGAAATAGTATAGCTTCCACCCCTATAAAACCAAGAGTTAATAAAGCTAATGACCTATTTACAAACAGTAAAAAAAATAAAAAATTATTTGGAAATAACTATCAATAATTATAATTTATAAATATTATTAATAAACAATTTACAATTATAGTAGAATATTTTTTATTTATTTTTCGTTGAATTTTTCAGTTTTTATTTGTGAAGGAGTGTTTGTGGTTAGCCCATTTTTTCTTCTATTTGCCTTCTGATACGTCAATATACTTTTGCTGGAATGTCAGGGGGTGACACTATAAATTTATAAATAATATTTGAGATTCTACATTTTCCTTTCATTGGGTAATTTTCTTTGTTTATGAAATTGCATGGTGAGTGTTCACTTGACAACAAAACTAAAATACTACATCTTTTAGTTTTGTTGTCAAGTGGATAAAGGTTTTATTTTATGTTTTTTCAAATTTATAAATGTTTAGGCATAATTATAGATAACTTAATTGATATATTTGAAACAATTTAAAGAGTTATTTTTAATGTTCATATTGTTAACATTATTGTTGTTCATGGTTCATTTTAGGGTTCATTTACCTAATTGTTACTCTATAAACTTTCATATACACAATTTTATGTACTAGAATTATAACTGAAAGTATAAACTATACTTTAAAGGTCCAATCAATTGTGTGTTTCGTGTTGAAATAACTTAACTTTTAGCTTTTAGTTCAAGTCAGAATCAACCTGGTAATGATAATATGTAATCTAGTACAACAGCTTATTTAGACAGAGGCTTATTTAGAGATGACAAATCGACATAAAAGCCCCATTGCTTTAAGATTCATAAAAACTCCATTGCTTTAAGACTCATAAAAGTTCCATTGCTTTAAGATTCTTGGGTAAAGAATCACTAGAAATAATATCTTGTTAAAAAAAAAATGCTTTTTTAGATCAATGTAGACCACACTTTGTAACTGTAATAAATCTCTCTGTTGACAAATATGCTTAATCTGTAATCTTTGGGATATAGACAAGCATAGGTACTTTTAACCTTTCTCTTATTTATAAGTAGAATCTCACTTCTCACCTTTTCATTTTCTGCTGCTAACCTTAATCATTACTTTTGCTTGTTTTATCTAAAAGAATTTGTTGAAACCATTTTTATCAAAGATAGATAATTAATATAAAATTAAATTATCAAATGCTAATTAATATCAATTTTGTTTTAATTTAAATAAATAATAATCAAAACTTCAAGTGCAAAACTTTCAAATATTTTTAAAAATTTTGTATTAAACCATGTAATATAGTCAAATATCACAATGCTATAAACAGCAGGGGTATGATGTTATTATGAAACAATGAGGGGTTAAAAACAACAATATTAAAACTTTTATTTACACTAAAACCTTCTATAATTTTGTTATTTCTAGATAATTACTTCTTTATTTTTATCTTCTTTTTAATAAACTTTTTATACCAGACAGTTTATAACATCCTATAAATAAAATTTCGGACAAATTTTAATTGCATTTATAATGTAATTTATTTTATGCATGCAAAAAACCTTTATACTTATTTGAAAGAGGATTTTATAATATATTTAAATTTAATTTAATTAAGTTAAAAATATTATTTAAATATTGAAAATAAAATGGTCAAAATAAAGGACCATGAAAAAATAATGGAAATTTTTTTCCGAAAAAATCGAGAAAAAGGTAAAGCATTTGTTGCTAAACAGTTTATGGAATGGGGTTTACTCAGATCAACTGCTTACGATAAAATCGAAGAATTGGAGAATGGATCTCTAAAGAGAAAAGTTGGGAGTGGTCGCTAAGGTAGCTACTAAAGAAAATATTCCAACGATTGCTGCATTTTTTGAAAATAAGTCAGGGTGCTCCCAAAAGAAAGTAGCTCAAGGTTTTAACTGTAGTCAAACTCGAATTTCCCAAGTATTAAAAACAATAATTAACATTCAAATTTTCTTGTTGCATTAGCCCCCGTAGAATAAACCCTCTTTATATTCATCACAGTAAGCAGGCAATCAACCAGTACACTTATAAAAAGATACTAGAAAAAACTTTATTTCCTCTAGTATCAGAATATTATAAAAAAGACAATGAGTTTATTTTCTGGCCTGATCTAGCTCGATCACATTACGCAAAGTCGGTCATCGACTTTTTAAAATTGAAAAAAAGTTGTACCGAAAGGTATAAAACAGCTCCAAAGACAAGACCAATTGAAAATTTTTTGAAATTGAAACTTTATTATAAGTCATATTATAAACAAATATCTGGAATGCAAATATATTTTTTCATAATATTTTTGAAACAATTTTTAAAGCAATAAAATTGTTAAGCAAAATTTAATTAGCCATATAATCTTTTTGAGTAAATATAAATTATTTCACATTTATAAACATACATGTTTAGACAAATAAACAAACCTGTAGCCAACCATTCTGCTTCTGAAGATACCCCTCTTTCAGTGGTTCCTAAAGATATGGTAAAGAAATATCTTATTAATCATTTGGTAATCATCTGAATTAAAAAAAGATCACACAAATAAAAAAGAAAACAAAAGTTTTAAAACAAATAAATTTATACATCTGTTTTTCTTCACTAATAATATTTTTTTTTTAACCATAACCTTGAATTTTTAAAGCAAGAGTTTGAAGTAAACTTACAAATAATATAATATATAGTTATGTAAATATACAACTTGTTATAAAAAAAGAATGTTTTGTTTTAGTTTAGCATTTATGGTTCCACAGAATTTCATAACAATATTCTCATATTTAAATGCAACATTCTAGAGAAATTAAAGTAACTTTTTATAAACTAATTGAGTAGCAATGTAGCGTTTACGGGCTACTCTTTCTCTTATTCTTTCTCTTAATCTTTTTCTTACTCTTTCTCATAATCTTTCTCTTACTCTTTCTCTTACTCTTTCTCTTACTCTTTCTCTTATTCTTTCTCTTACTCTTTCTCTTACTCTTTCTCTTACTCTTTCTCTTATTCTTTCTCTTACTCTTTCTCTTATTCTTTCTCTTACTCTTTCTCTTACTCTTTCTCTTACTCTTTCTCTTATTCTTTCTCTTATTCTTTCTCTTACTCTTTCTCTTACTCTTTCTCTTACTCTTTCTCTTATTCTTTCTCTTACTCTTTCTCTTATTCTTTCTCTTACTCTTTCTCTTATTCTTTCTCTTACTCTTTCTCTTACTCTTTCTCTTACTCTTTCTCTTATTCTTTCTCTTACTCTTTCTCTTACTCTTTCTCTTACTCTTTCTCTTATTCTTTCTCTTACTCTTTCTCTTACTCTTTCTCTTACTCTTTCTCTTATTCTTTCTCTTATTCTTTCTCTTACTCTTTCTCTTACTCTTTCTCTTACTCTTTCTCTTATTCTTTCTCTTACTCTTTCTCTTACTCTTTCTCTTACTCTTTCTCTTATTCTTTCTCTTACTCTTTCTCTTACTCTTTCTCTTACTCTTTCTCTTATTCTTTCTCTTACTCTTTCTCTTATTCTTTCTCTTACTCTTTCTCTTACTCTTTCTCTTACTCTTTCTCTTATTCTTTCTCTTATTCTTTCTCTTACTCTTTCTCTTACTCTTTCTCTTACTCTTTCTCTTATTCTTTCTCTTACTCTTTCTCTTATTCTTTCTCTTACTCTTTCTCTTATTCTTTCTCTTACTCTTTCTCTTACTCTTTCTCTTACTCTTTCTCTTATTCTTTCTCTTACTCTTTCTCTTACTCTTTCTCTTACTCTTTCTCTTATTCTTTCTCTTACTCTTTCTCTTACTCTTTCTCTTACTCTTTCTCTTATTCTTTCTCTTATTCTTTCTCTTACTCTTTCTCTTACTCTTTCTCTTACTCTTTCTCTTATTCTTTCTCTTACTCTTTCTCTTACTCTTTCTCTTACTCTTTCTCTTATTCTTTCTCTTACTCTTTCTCTTACTCTTTCTCTTACTCTTTCTCTTATTCTTTCTCTTATTCTTTCTCTTACTCTTTCTCTTACTCTTTCTCTTATTCTTTCTCTTATTCTTTCTCTTACTCTTTCTCTTACTCTTTCTCTTACTCTTTCTCTTATTCTTTCTCTTACTCTTTCTCTTATTCTTTCTCTTACTCTTTCTCTTATTCTTTCTCTTACTCTTTCTCTTACTCTTTCTCTTACTCTTTCTCTTATTCTTTCTCTTACTCTTTCTCTTACTCTTTCTCTTACTCTTTCTCTTATTCTTTCTCTTATTCTTTCTCTTACTCTTTCTCTTACTCTTTCTCTTACTCTTTCTCTTACTCTTTCTCTTACTCTTTCTCTTACTCTTTCTCTTACTCTTTCTCTTATTCTTTCTCTTATTCTTTCTCTTACTCTTTCTCTTACTCTTTCTCTTACTCTTTCTCTTACTCTTTCTCTTATTCTTTCTCTTATTCTTTCTCTTACTCTTTCTCTTACTCTTTCTCTTACTCTTTCTCTTACTCTTTATCTTACTCTTTCTCTTAATCTTTTTCTTACTCTTTCTCATAATCTTTCTCTTACTCTTTCTCTTACTCTTTCTCTTACTCTTTCTCTTATTCTTTCTCTTACTCGCATTTGGGTTTTTACAACTTATACACAATCTATGAATTTCAAATATTGGTTAATAATTATAAAAGTTTTAAATTGTTTCTGATTGCCGGAAATTCATCAAAACCCATATGGGGCATTTCCGAAAATCACACATGAAAAATTGTAAATGTTTTGTTTATTATTATTATAATATAAAAACAAGCTCCAATTTAAAAGGAATGGCTTTTCCTTATCCATTCTTTATTACAGAATCATGCACAGAACAGAAAAAAGCAAACACATACACTTCAAAAAAAGATAAATAAATTTTAATTCCTCTAAAAATATAAGTTTAAACAATTTTTTATATATTAATAAAGATTTCCAGAAAGATACAGGATTGCACTATACATCATCAGTCACAACAATCGTTTAAATGCAGTTCAGGTATGCTCAATTGAAGTTGCTAATTGGAGTAATCAAGTTCATTTAGTAATTTTTATGAAAATAAAATGCTTATGAGTATTTCAAATGAAATATATATATCTCTACAACTCGTATTTAATATTTTTAATGAAAAATAGTAGTCTTCAAATACTTCTAGCTAGAGCATAGCACTTTTTAATGATCAAAATATAAATATTTAAACATTCAGGTTGCCTAAAATATAATAAAAATATTTGTCATAATTGTTCTTTCAGATAATCATAGTAGTAAGTATATTGCTTTAGGTCCTAGCTTTTAATTGTGAAAAAAAGGAAAAAAAATCATGCACAGAAATGGAAATCCCCTTTAACATTTATCAAAAATTAAGTAATATTTAGTTCTCATGCCCTGACAAAAAACAGAATTGTACAACCACTAAATGTTACTTGATTTAGTTCTTTTTTAAATGCTTACCCAAATAGTAGAAAACTTTTCTACACAAAAACAAAACAGTTTTTTTTTATATAGTAGCTTTTTTTGTGTAGAAAAAAAATATAAGACTTCTAAAAGATATATATCCTACGCTCAAGGGGAGATTCAGTGGGTTCTTTTTTATCAGCTAGAATAAAAACAAGTAGCAAAAAAGAGTATTTGACCTACAGTCAAACCAAAACTAACAATCTGGGAATGAACAAGATTCCAACAAGAATACTGAAATAAAACTCAAAAAAACTTTAAGATGAGTATCTTTTAAGAAAAAACATAACCAAAAACTTGGCTGCTGTATGAAAGCAAAAGCTTTCAAAGCAGATGTTGAACACTTCAACTTATCAACAAAGTATACACACAATTGTATGAAGAATGAAGAAGATAAAATATTTTTAATAATGCAACAAGAAAATCAAACTACAGTATAATTGGGGTTGATAAATCTGGGGTTGTAAATTGAGCTGAAAATAGACATCAGTGAAGTGAATTGCACAAAATATGGAACAAATTCTTTCCTCATCAACAATAGAATGTATAACTGACAGTTCTCTTTACAACTCTACTTTTCTTTACAACTCTACCTACTTCTTTATAACCTCTACTTTTCTTTCTACAACTCTATTTCCTTAGAATGGCAGGAAGGCCTTTTAAAAACAGTTAATTCTTAAATGCCAACAAATCACCCTAAATCAGTATGACATCAGATTGCCAATCTAAAAATGCTCTTATATATATATATATATATATATATATATATATATATATATATATATATATATATATATATATATATATATATATATATATATATATATATACATATATATATATATATATATATATATATATATATATATATATATATATATATATATATATATATATATATATATATATGAACATGGCGAGCTATGCAACCTGCTTCTCTAAACATCTTCTTAGGAGAGCATTTGATTATTGTACAAGCTATCTGTTTATTCATAAAAGAATTGCTTATTAAGAACAAAATTTTGGTTCATAATTGTTACGAGGTGTGACAAATCTTTTTTTTTAATGAACATTGACATTCTTACCTTTATTGAATGACAAATGTCCAATTTAAGAGATATATGTCAATTTAAGAGAAATATGTCATATAAGGTCATATATATAAGAAATATATGTGATATAAGGAAGTTTTATTTTCAAATAACTTTTATTCTAGTTAAGAAGTTAATAGATCAATGATGATATTGATATAAAATTCTTAGCAAACAATTCATATTTGTCTTTAGGTAAGATGATAAAATCTGAACCGCACAAGAGAGGTGGAATAACAGATTTGCCTTTATTATTGATACCACTAAAGATTCTCCAAAAATCATGAGAACATAATTTTTGCAATCACATTTCATGACATAACAAGCTTAGACAAAACCTTTTTTACAATGGTTTCTTGAAATAGTAAATAGACTTTTGTTTTCTAGAGAAATGCTTTGATGATAAGTATGGAATTAATAATTTTGATTGAAATTTGCAGCAGCATAATTTGAGGTAAACGATGGAAAAGAGTGAGGCCTGACTTGGAATCGTTGAGAGGAAATAAAAGATTCCATGCCAGCCTAAATCCAAGAAGTTGTGTAAGAAGTGCATTTGTCAGCAGAAAGACGAAAAGATTTCTACCCAAGTGCCATTACAGAGAAAATCACAGAATAGGTCCCAATCAGCTTTAAGGTAGTTGTAAAAGGTACAATTATAGCGGGATTCTGATGATAAGAAGAATGAGATAATGATTTTAGAGATAATGGTTTTAAACCCTGATCAAAAGTACCTAAGGGTGAATGTGGAGAAACTGAGCACTGATTAGGATCAGAAACAATACATAAGCTGAGTAGAGAAGGTAAATGATTCAGGTTGTCTGGAAAACGAGTTGGAAAATTGACTATTTGAGTTAGAGATTGTGAAAGGCAAAGGTTGTGGGCTTTAATGCCTGCAGAGTCACTGAGAATTGAGCCAAGCCATTCAGTATGATGAGCATTAAAACCAACAAAAGCAATATTGGCTGAAGGATAAAGAGAAAGGTCTCGGTCAATTTGATCAGAAATAACATCAAAAAGAGTACAGTATTGAGATGAAGGAGAGCAATATAGAACAAAGAGAAAGGTGATAGAGTGAAGTGGAGCTAAATGAAAGCACATAAAAGAAAAGTCTGTGGATTCAAACCGACAAATGGGGAAATTCTTGTGAATGTAAATGCCTAGGCCAAGCATGTGACTATTGGAGTCTTAACGAATTAAAGGAAGATAACTCAAGCTAAAATTTAAATATCTTTTTTTTTTTTACATTTTTTAAAAAGTTGTTAAGAAAATATTGTTTTTTTCTTGAAAAAAACACTGATTTTTTTGTTAAAGTTTGCCAGAACGAGGGGAACCACTACCCAAATCATATATATATATATATATATATATATATATATATATATATATATATATATATATATATATATATATATATAAATATATATATATATATATATATATATACATATATACATATATACATATATACATATACACATATATACATATATACATATATACATTTATACATTTTTATTGACAATGCTCCAAAGCTTGTGGTCTAGTTCAAATGAATAAAAATCAGAAAAAAAATTAACAAAATTTCACATAGTTCTAGCTTTCATAGCAAATTAGTTTCTTATAAGCTTACATACCAAATTAGTTTATAAGGACTGATAAAAATTGTATGTTTTTGCATCAGCTTGTATAAAATTCGGTAGCTAAAAACAACTCAAATACAAAAATAGAATACAAAAAGTCCATAAAAATTAAAAAAAAAAAAAATTTTAACTTTCTTTTTTTAATTATTATATTTTCTAGTTTATTTAATTAAACTTGAAATTTTGCTACAATTTTGTTTCCTTTTTTAGGATTGTTTGTTTTTTTTCTTAGTAGACAAGTTTAGCTTTTTGCTGCGAATCATTAAAATGCTTTATAAGTTGAACGATGCAAACTGCCATGGTCAGCTTGTCTAAAAAAATTACTTTAATAATGGGCAAACATAGCATGCAACCACACGTGCTACCCAAGAAGGCTTATATATATATATATATATATATATATATATATATATATATATATATATATATATATATATATATATATATATATATATATATATATATATATATATATAAGAAGCGTTTCCCTATTTAAATTTTACGTATGCATTCACGATTTTACGTACGCAATTTACGTTATGCAAAAACTTTTTTCAATAAGTTATTTTAAACAGTCTTTTAAAACAGATTAGGCGGAAAATATTAAACTGTAACTAATTGTTATAATAAACGTTTGTAGAATACTTTTTTTATTAAAGAAAAAAACAGATAGATATCCTTTTTTCTATTTTCCGTTTTTAAAAAAAAATTTTTTTTTTTTAAAAGAATTCTTTTTTAAAAACAAACCAAACTTTAAACCGCATAAAAATAACGCGATCAATAAACTCTTTAAAAGCCCAACTTATATTTATTTCATTTGGAAAACAAAACTTATACTAGTGCTATAAATATGATACCTAAATTTTAAAATTATACTGATATTTGTTAAAAACACCTTCTGCTAATAAGATCTTGAAACCGAAAATACTATTTTTCTTCTATGATTTGGTAAGAAATAGTAAAAATACATTAGGTTTCACAGTACATAAAAATGAAATATTTTAATGAAAGTAAAAAAAAACAAAGTGGAAAAGTAGTAATCTTCGTTTAATTACAATTTTTATTTTATCAGAAGCCAGTTACTAAAATGCTTTAGGTAGTTTTTATATAAAGGGGAAAACCCAATCAAATATACACACATATATATACATACATGTATACACACATATATATACACACATATATATACATACATACATATATATATACACACATATATATACACATATATATACATATATAAACTTATTAGTTTAATAAGTTTACATATGTATATATAAACTTATTAAACTAATTAGTTTAACAAGCTTATATATGTATATATAAACTTATTAAACTAATAAAACCTTATTCTTTTTATTCAAAAATACAAATTTTATTAGTTTAATAAGTTTATTAGTATTCATCAATAAAAACTATATTAAAATACTGGAAAAAATAACTTAATTAAATGATTATTAAAAAATGTCTGATGTAATTTACAAAATAACAAAGTCTACTAATCAGATCCTAAAAGTCTACAAATCTAAAACCTTAGCTGAACTAAGATTTATAGAAACATTTCTCCAGAGCAGGAGATAGACTCAGTTTCAAAAACATACCTCAACAGACAGATCGAAATCAGTAATCTGGGAAAATGATCCTAAAAACATTTCTCATGAGAAAGTTTGTCAAAACTGTAATTGAAGCCAGCACTTTCAAAAACATTTGTCCAACTTAGACATTATTTTTATTAACTCCGCTTTTTTTTATTGTTTTAACTCTGTTTTTTTTATCTAAAGCAATATTTTTTATTTAAATAAAATTTAAAAACTTAAAAAAGATTAACAATATTTTTAATTTCTATAAGCCATTATCATGTTTGTCAATCAACTTGGCTTTGATATAGTTTTTCTTTTTTATTTCTTTATTATATTAATTATTATTTTATATTTATATACATAATTAATATTTGTGATATACTTTATTGTAATATATTTTAAAAAGTTTTATCACAAAACAAAAATATTTTCATACGAAACATACATACATTTTATCAAAATAGAATTTTGGCAACTAAAGTAGATCAAATAACACACCAGTTCATAACTTTAGCACAAAATGATTTTATCAATAAAATCAAATTTAAACGAGTTAAAAGCAACAGAATAAAAAAATTATTTTTTTACACAACTTTTTTTTTAAACTCTGCTACCATTCAATGTTATAAATCATAAAAAATAAATCATATTGTATTGTATTTAAATTACCTGTTTAATTTGACAAGAAACCATGGTACCAGATGTATCTTCTAGCTTTTTATAAGTACCTGTATCATCCATCGTCCCATTCTAGTTTTATATTTAAAATAATATAATTAATTAATGATATTGTCAATCAATTGAAAAAAAAATGTGCACACTTGTAACATTGGCGCTTAACAGAGTAGTAAAAAATGAATAAAAAAATTTAGCTAACATTTTTTTCTACAAGCATTTTTATTTGTTTAAGAAAAATAAAATCTTCCTGGTAAGTTTTGAATTTATTAAAGTCCCATTAAAAAAATGTATTTCTAAGAAGTTAATAAGATTGAAAAATATATACATACATTCATATGTACATACATACAATAGACACAAATATAAATATATATATATATATATATATATATATATATATATATATATATATATATATATATATATATATATATATATATATATATATATATATATATATATATATATATATATATATATATATATATATATAGGATATACACATATATATAGAATATACACATATATATAGAATATATATATATATATATATATATATATATATATATATATATATATATATATATATATATATATATATATATATAGGATATACACATATATATAGAATATACACATATATATAGAATATATATATATATATATATATATATATATATATATATATATATATATATATATATATATATATATAGGATATACACATATATATAGAATATACACATATATATAGAATATATATATATATATATATATATATATATATACATATATATATATATAGAACATATACATATATATAGAACATATACATATATATAGAACATATACATATATATAGAACATATACATATATATAGAATATACATTTATATATAGAATATACACATATATATAGAATATATATATATATATATATATATATATATATATATATATATATATATATATATAACATATACATATATATAGAATATATACATATATATAGAACATACACATATATATAGAATATACACATATATATAGAATAAATATATATATATATATATATATTTATATATATATATATATATATATATATATATATATATATATATATATATATATATATATATATATATATATATATATATATACAACCCTTGGAATTAAGAAAAATACAATCTTTTAGAGGTCGGCATCAGGTCGGCAAAAGTTATTTGAAACAAAGGTCATACCATAAAATATAGAAACAAGGTCGGCAAATTTTAGTCGACCTTAAACACTTTCAGGTCGTCAGTTAGGTCGACATTGCCAAATGCGGACCCTAATTTCGAGGGTTATATATATATATATATATATATATATATATATATATATATATATATATATATATATATATATATATATATATATATATATATATATATATATATATATATATACATATATATATATATATATATATATATATATATATATATATATATATATATATATATATATATATATATTTATATATATATATATATATACATATATATATATATATATATATATATATATATATATATATATATATATATATATATATATATATATATATATATGAATATATATATATATATTTATATATATATAGAATATATGTAAGATATATCATATAGATAGAATATATATAATATATTTAATTTATATAATATATTTAACATATATACATATTTTATATATATAATATATATATATACATATTAATATATAATAATTATACATATATATATATACACACACATATATATATATACATATATATATATATATATATATATATATATATATATATATATATATATATATATATATATATATATATATATATATATATATATATATATATATAGAATACACTGTATGTATGTATGTATGTATGTATGTATGTATGTATGTATGTATGTATGTATGTATGTATGTATGTATGTATGTATGTATGTAATATTGCAATAATTTTAAATCACCTTATATTCATTTATAATTAAAAGTATTATAATTATGACACAAGCATCCCCTGTCACAATGTTTTCTTTCACACATTAAAAAAATATTTAAGCTTGCAAAACTTTTTTAACAAGTTTAATACAGATGTTCTTTTACTGTTTATGTTCATTTTTTTCAAAACAAAGAGAAAAAAAAATCTATTTCTTCATTGATTATAAACTTTTTTTGATCTTTTATGCATACATAAAAAAAAAATAAGAAAAAAACATCGAAAGAAAAAATATTTATACAATCACTAAAAAGATCTTCCAATTTAATTAGTGAAACTTGCTTCAGCTAAAACAGGTGTAATAACGTCAAAAACATCGAATAAGTCATCGAAACCAGTGTGATGTTTGAATTATATGCACGTATTCTATCAAACTATACCCGCATTAAAAAACGTTTTACTTTAAAATTTTATTCATGGTTTTGGAATTTTAAAAAAGCTGCGGAACAATATATGTTACGGTGTACCGGAAATACCGTAACAAAAACTAAAAATGAAAATAACTTGAAAAATAAATGATTTCCATGTAATAAGGCCTTGATTTACTTTTTATAGTAATATTTACATAGGGTTATATAGTTTTTATTAACAACTTTAATTACAAAAATATTAAAAATATTATTTGAATACGTTTCCTCCCAATGGGTTTACTCAAACATGGTTCTTTGGTATTAAAGTTTCCTAATTGCTATTAGTAGAATTTAAGAAAAACTTATTTGTTAAACCAATACCTTTAAAAAATTTCGATATAAAAGATTCTTTAAAACTGCTTTTTATATCAAAAAATTACCTCAAAAGTAGAAAATATAAATATAAAAAAATATAAATATAAAACAGCTAAGCAAAAAAAAAAAAAAATCAAAATGTGCTGCAATAAAATTTTGTTCATGTTTTTTTTTATGAGTTTGCTTTTGGAAAAATTTTTTACATTACTTCGCTGTTGTACCCTTGGTGTTTGTTTTTTAATTTTTTATGTCGTTTTTATTTTAATTAATTTTACAACATTTTTTTTTCATAAAAATTGATAAATTATATCTAAAATGATTTTAAAAATCAAAAATTAAACATTTTAAATATTATAATAAATCTTTTGTTTAAACATTTCAATACTTTTATAATAAATGAAAAAAAAGAACATTTTTATGAATTAAAGTTGTTAAAGAAAACAACAAGAAAACAAAACCGTATATTATAAGTATCTATAACGTTCAGAGACAAAATTGCCAAAAACAAATATAGAGTTTTTCTGAGCGCAATATTTAGTTACTTGCGTATCAGTCGATTTACGCCATCTATTTTGTTCGACTTTTTTTTTTTTTTCATAGCGTATTTGGCGAATGTGTTTTAAGATGTATTTTGTCATGTTATTTTTAGTTATTACATAGATACTTTATAAAAAAATTTTAGTTATTACATAGATATTTATAAAAAAAAGATTAGTTAAACTTCATTTTTGTTTTGTTCTTTTTTATAGTTATCATATATGAAATTGATGTCGAAGGTGTGTCGGGTTTTTTTTTTTAATTTACTAAGCCGGCTTTAAAAATATGTTTTCTATGTTAATGCTAAATTTCATTGAAAAAGATTATGTAGCAGACACCTTTTTTTTAGCAGAATATATATTTAAGTAAAAGTAAGTTTTTGTAGCAGAATATATATCTAAGTAAAAATATTGTAAATAAAGGAAAATATTGCGCAAATTACGATAAAGTTCCATAAAAAAAACTACCGTCAGCCGAATCTGACTTTTTAAAATTGGTCGCAGTTTTATTAAGCAAACCCTTGTATCAAATTTTGTAACTTAAATGTCCATAAATTTTTGTAGAATTTTATTGAGAAATTTTCACTATTGTAATACTAATTTTAGCCTCTTTCCCATGATATGTAATAATCAATAATAAAAATAGTTTGAAATTTTTACACATTATTAGGACTCACAAGATGTCTTTATTTGACAATCAACGAGTAGGTTTGTCTTTATTCTTCACATTTTGTCTGCTTTAAATCGTTTCCGTTTTGGATTTTTTTAAATGTTTTTTTTAACTATGCTGTTTGTGTATATTTTTTAGATTTTTTGATGGCTTTATTGTTAAAAGATTTTGTTTTTAAAAAAAGCCTATAGGATTGAACGATATTTTGGTTTTAACTTTTGCTGATTTTTTATTTAGGTTTTGTTACTTTAAATTTTAAATGCTAATATTGATTTTTGTTTTATTATTAAAAGAATGAGTAAAGTGGTTCGAGATAACGAAAGTTTGTATCTATCCTTAATGTTTTTATGCTATGCTGTTATGTAGTTTGTTAATGAATTAGAAATTTAGTTGCTTAACAGCTGAGAAGTTGCGTTTTGTTGTTTTTGCAATTCGCAGCGCCGCCGAGAGGAGGGGGGTGCGAGGGACAGTTTGTCCCGGGCGGCAGATATTTAAATGAAATGTAGGTACCAAAAAAAAAAAAAAATAGGTCCTCCATATAAAATACAGGGAAAATTTGATAAATAAGGGCGCCAAAAAGGATTGCTGTCCCAGGTGGCGTGACAGCTCTCGGCGGCTCTAACAATTTGTACATGCTTTTAAAGTTGTATATGTTTAATCATTCAATATAACTAATAGATTTTAATTAAAACTATTTCGTATGTTAAGCAAAAGTAAAGCATTATTATATATATATTCATTTAATTTTCTGTTGATAGTTAAGAAAAAGAAGAGTTAGCAAGTAAATATTTTAATTGCATTTTTAGTTTTGTAAATTATAAATATTTTATAAAATGTTTAAAGTTTATACGCTCTAAGTTTTATAAAAGTATATAAAGAATAATAGTGTAATATTGCGATAATACTTTTTCTACAGAGAAAAAGTGTGTTGATATTTTACAAGCAGAAAGTGAATTACAGGAAAAGAATTGACAATTAGTTTGAAGCTTGTGTTTTCACTATTTTTATGTGAATTATGGCATAATTTTTTTACAGTTTAATCATGTGTACTTAATGTAAGCACCTACTTAGAACAAATCTTCATTTTTGAACTTAATGTAAGCGCCTACTTAAAACAAATCTCCATTTTTGAACTTAATGTAAGCACCGACTTAAAACAAATCTCCATTTATGAACTTAATGTAAGCACCTACTTAAAACAATTCTCCATTTATGAACTTAATGTAGGCACCTACTTAAAACAATTCTCCATTTGTGAACTTAATGTAAGCACCTACTTAAAACAATTCTCCATTTTCGAACTTAATGTAAGCATCTACTTAAAACCATTTGTGAACTTTGTGTGCTTAATTGTTTAAACAGAATTGTTTCATTTTCTGATCAAAACGTTTTGCATTTTTAATTTTACTAAACAAGTCAAAATGGCCTTAATCAAATTTGGTGGTTTATTAAGCGAACAAAGCTTAAGTAGAAATTACGCTCAGCAATATTTAATATAAAAAAATAGTAAAATAAAAAAGACTTCTTTTGGGGTTATATTTGGTTAGTCTTTTTTATTATTATTTATTTAGACCATAAACACATTATAAAATAAAAAAGATCCACCGCCCTTGCATTGATGCCTTCATAAATATCAGAAACGTTTACAAATATACAAAAAATTTTAAACTAGCATTTCCCTAAATGTACTGATGGTCCGGATAAGTGTTTTTAAAGATTTGTTTATTTGAAACATTCGCACCAAATTTACTCCGATTATCAATAAGACTTGATGTTGAATACAGATAATTATAAATATTAGTTGTAATTTGTAATTAATTACTAGTATCACTGATACTAATAATTAATATATTCTAACTATTACCCAAATAAACATATTTTATAATTACTAATAATAATACATAGTAGTTATTTAATTGTATTGATACTTAACTTAATATTTGATAATTACTTGATAAGACTTACAATGACAACCATTACAATGACTTTTACACTGTCTCTTTTAATTAACGGAAATTTCAGGGCAAAGCAATGAAATAGCTTTAATATTTTTTATACAAGTTTTTATAGTTTGCAAAGCAGCCAGTGCAATCTTACAACATCATTTCTATTGATATATTCAAACTTACAATAAAATTATCTTTTCCATTTTAGAACAATACTTAGTTTACTATGGCTATCTTCAGTTCTAAGTGAAGATGTCATACATATTGATATTTAAATAACTTTAAATAATGAAAAACAATCTTTTAACTTTAAATCTTTTTTCTGTTAATTTGGAACTTCTTATAAGTCTGTATATCTTTATATGCCCTCAAAATGTTTCCAAGATAGAATGCCATTGTTACGTAACATTTATTATTATTCTCAAACTACGGCAGATTGTTGCGTTTGGATATTTTTACAGCTTTTAATTTTGGTTTATTTGCATTTACTCTATTTATTCATATATCGGATGTACACACACTCTAAAGTAAATTCTAAAAGCTTTTTTATTTCACGAATTTTTTGGTGAGGGGGGGGGGGGTAGTAAACGACCTGGGCAGGTATGTTTGTTGGTTCAAACATAAAAAAAACAAACTTCTTTAATTTAAAAAAGAGCGTTTAAATTAAAAAACTTAATTTTGGTAGTTGGGGGGGGGGGGGAAGAGAGAGATACCTCCATCACCCCTCACTAGTATCCATCACTGTTTCATTGTACACGCTTTGTTTACAATTTAGTTTTTTTTCTTCAGGCATTTTAAGGTTATTTAAAACGACAAAATATGTTTTAAAATCTCCTTACCTGAAAATGCATATTAAAAGAGAAGTTAACTAATTACCAAGTTAAAATATTTCTTAAGATGTTTTTTAGATAGGGATTGAATATTAAAAAGAAAAATTATGTCAAAAAATCAATTGCAGGAAAAATACTAAAAAAAGACACAATAACCAACTCCAGGTTTTTAAACATTAGAATAGAGTGAAATTAAAGTGGTTAAAACAAAAAACGTGTAGCCAATAATATAGCAATATTTATTAGCGAATAGCAATTAATAGGCGATAAGAATAGCGATTAATATAAATTAAAAACGATTTTAAGAAATGCGAATAAAAAGTGAAAGAAAAACAATGGTACGTAACAATTGATCAAAAAAAAAATAGTAAACTTCTTCTGTTGTAAGTTATATAACCTTTCTACGACAGGACAGGTAGAAACAGCAGTAAGTTTCAAAAATGTTTTTCACTTTTAAAAACAATTTAAATAAAGTAAACATTCATTTTCAAAAGCAATCTTCACAAAACAAAACAAAAACATAAAAGAAACTCTTATGTTTGATTGCGATAGATTACGATAGTTTCAAAGGTAAAATAAGAAAAACATATAAAGTATTTTCAAATATTACCAGTAAAAACCAGATAAGTGATTAGTTGTACTATGAGGCAAGAAGTTAGTTAACAAGCTAAACGAGGATCGACTTTTTCTTTTTTTTGGTTATCGAGAATTTAGAAGCTAATGTAGAGTATAACAAAAGAAGTCACGTCAGATGGCGTGATCACAAACTTATAGACAGGGCCAGTGCGAGTAGGTGTCATGTGGGGGTGGGGGGGGAGGGGTGCTCGTACGACTTTTGCCGATTTTAAAAAAAAGAAAAGGTCCTTAATTTTTGCCGACTTCATATCGACTTTTTCCGACTAATTGTTGTGGCCTTGTTTGTACCGACTACGATTTAGTGTTTGGAGGGGTGTGAGACCTCCTCATGCACCCCACTATCGACGACCCTGCCTATAAAGTTGTATTATTCTATGTTATGTAGGGGAAAGCGGGGCAACATGGCGAATTGGACAAGATGGATTTTCATATAACAACTTAACAAAACTTCTTAAAATTGGGTGAAAACGAAACTGTATTTGCATCTTGTATTTTAAAACACCAATTGATTTTTTGAAATATTATTAACATAATTTTATACGCATAAGTATTCTTTTTGCGCTTAAAAAAAAATTCCTCACTTTCGGTTTCTCATAATGGATGGTGTCCTTCAAGTTTAACTTCTTTAGAAGTAGTTTTTTGCAATTAGTGTTTATTTTTTGTTACTTTATTTAGAGTTATTGGTAGTTTTTAAAATTTAATAAAATTGGAGGTAAAAATAGCATAATAAGTCATCTTGCCCCGGTCACGTGATCAGATGACAAACTTATGAACTTTTTATTTTAATATTTGTTTCAAATTGTTATATTTGCAAACTGAAAATTCATGCAGGCAATCAAGGATTTTAATAACATAAACATACTGAGAAAATATTATTGCTTCACGACTGATAGTTTTGCAATAACTCAGGGCTTTTAAAACATTCGCCAGGTTGCCCCGCTTTCCCCTATGTATGTAAGAAAATTTAACAAAAACATTATTCTTTTGTTAATTTCGTTTTAACAGTTTGTACTAAACTGTGGTCTGATATTAGGAAAAATAGGAATGCATGGTTAGGCGGCCGTGGCGCAGTGGTTAGAGCGCTTGCTTTATAAGCAAGGAGATCCAGGTTTATAAGGAGATCCAGGTTCGAAACGAGCTTTGGGCATATTTCGCGTCACGGTAAGAAAGGAGGCGTAAACTTCCTGGTTAAATGCACTTCCGCGGTGCTCTGAAACAAGACCGTTAGGACTTCTTGGGGCACCTAAATAACAAATTAAAAAAAAAAAGGTTTATTAAATCTTGATTTTATAATCCAAAGTGCTTCTAAAATAAAAAATTTAAAGTGTTAAAGGCTTAGCCTGCTACCCTAGGTAAATTTGTTTGTGACCCAGAGAATACTTTATTAAACGCAATTTCTGACAATGATAAAAAAAATCAGAAAGCAAGCAGTTGCTATTAAAATATTATTATGCTATATGAAATTTATTTTAATGTTGAGCAATATATTGTGCAATCAGATCATTTTGATGCTCCAAAGTGTTAACTTTTAAGCCAAGAAAACATATTTTTAATTGAAGAGAAAATTAAAATTACCCTTTCCCCTATCCTACCTTACCATTTGTGTTAGATCATTTGACATCAAAAATTACTTCAAATTTTCTTAACAGTACCAAGGAGTAGAAAGGGCTGTTAGAATATGTTAATAGTATTATACAATAATGGTCTAAGTTGTATAATAGAATATAAAACTTAGACCATTATTCTTTTCACAAGTAATTATGATATAAATTAAAGGCTTAACTTATTGGTATAAGAAAAATTTTGAGCATTTTACATTTAATCTTTATTGCAACTTTCGACTTTTTTCTTTCTTTATTTGTTTATGGCTGACATACATTATAGACCTCCATTATGAATATATGGCTGACATATGTTATATCTTCATATACCTCTATACTACTTATATATATCATAGATATTTTGTATATGACATATATAATAGACCTTTATTATGAGCAAATTAAGTTCCAACTTTATAACATTCAAAGTTGTTAATAATAAACAAACTCGTTAATAATAAGCAAATTTAAAAAATTTTGTTTTCTGACGGACAGTTTTGCTTTTTTTTAAGGATATTTGCATATTTTCTGAGCAGTTTTACTTTGAATCTTTCATTCAACATTTGCAAAAGTATTTGGCGGTACAATAATATTGTTTGAAAAGGTCAAAGCAGATTAATACAGAATAAATATATTTATATATATATATGTGTTTTTCTGATTTATTAAAAACTAGTTATTTTGTAAAAAGACCAACTTGCAAAAAACATGACAATTATAAAAAGTAGAACAAAATTAGAAAAGCGCATTAACATATAAACTTACCATATACTGATAAAGTGTTATTATTAAACAGTTTTTCAAATAAAATAATGTTGTTTAAATTTTTTTTAATTCTTATTTTTTATTAGTAAATTTTTACAAACGATATCCTTCTTTTACTATACCGATGGTGGTAAATAGATTTCAAATGCTAACATTTATGCAATAATCCATTATTATTATTAGATTATATTTAATGAACTTTTGTTTGACAAACGTGTAATCCTATTATCAATTTAAATGCCTCGGAATGAACAGTGATTTCATTATTATACTTCTGCAAAATAAGCAAAAATTTTGATGATATCAACATTTAATGGTGTTAGGTGTTAGAGGGGGGTAAGAGTTATTGGGGGAGAGCAAATTTGTTACTGGCTTCACATCAAGATAAAATTAAACTAGTCCGGCTTAATCATATGACTTATATCATAAATATTAAATTATATACCAGTGATATAGTATAGAATTTTGATTCATCTCGCCAAGCTTCAGAAGGATCACTACAGTCGAGAAGGCTTCTTATTTTTTTCTTTTTTTAACATTTATTTCATTTTATTTGCAACATTCTCATCTCTAAGCTTTGAAACATGAACTTTTTAAACAAAACCGCTTCGCGACGAAATAAGTTAAGCAAATGTACTTCCAGAAGCATTGGGTAGAATTAAACCGCAAACCTCTTGGTTGTGAAGCGACCTAGTGTACTACCGTTTTGATTACACTTAACTACACTTTAATGACTGTTAATTAGACTTTAATTATTATTGTTCGGCCAATAGAAGAAAAAGAGTATTTTGGATTCTTATTAAATGAATAAAGAATAATTTGTTGTTCAGATTTAATGTAGTACATTTGGTCAATGCTTATACAAATATTGGTACAATTTTAAAACTGTATTCGTAACCATTTTGAAATGTAAATGATATTTCAATTAATGTAGAAATACTTGAGTTATTAAAGAATTTTAAATGTTTGAGCGAACTTTTATTTCTTTTTTCAATACTTTAACTTAAAAAAATAAAAACAAGCAATATAGGGTAAAAACTATGTTTGTACTCTGTACTTCGAATAAGTCTTTACAAATGTTGTTTACAGTGTTAAAAGTCAGTTTATTGTTTGTTTGTTTTTATTTTAAAATTAATACTTATTAAATAATATTTAAAACATAACTGTTTTAATTAATTTAACATTTAAACAGTTGATTTACAGTTTACTTATTTAAACAAATAACTGTTAATTTAAGTATTGTTTGTATTAACTCTTTAAGTAAACACTTAACAGTTCGCCAGGTTTTTTAAAATTATACTAAAAGTTTGAAAATATCAAACATTTAATATAAATTTAAAAAACCTTGAAATGTAAAAATAGGATGGTACAGTATTAAAAAATTCTGCTAACCCTAATTTTTTTTAACTCCAACTTCTTGTGGCTAAATGGCTCTGTTGTCTATCTTGGCCTGTTGTGCGATACGAGTTTTTATTCAGCCACTGCTAACTCCACGCTCGAGAATACATTGGTACGCAAAAGTGTTGGTCAATAATGAACGCTACTTTAGCCTTTATGACATTTTGTGGCTGATTCTTAAGTGTGTTTAAAAAAATAAAAATTTTAAAACGAGGATACAGATGAAGCCAAATTGAGGCATACAAAAATAAACACGATTAAGAATTCCACATTCCACAAATTCCACAAACATTGATATTTATCTTGTGCTCAAGCGTCAAAATACCCCTATAAACACCCGGAACAGTACCCAAGTAATGAGGCTTTGAGTGCAAGGTAAATCTCACTATTTAATTTTTTTTTTTTTTGTTAATGTGCTCATAACGGTCCGTATTTTTTTCAGATTGTTTTATATCATTCAGGTTATTTTGATTTTTTACAATTGTTGTTCAAATTAAAAAAGACTTAAAGAAAGAATAAAATGCTATAAAAATAAAAAAAAAAGTAACACGTGTTTAACATAAAAAACTAATTTTTAACATTACGTCAAACAAGTCACTTAAATAAAAGTGTACTTTTGTTTGATTTGTTTGCCCAATTGCAACTTTCTTGCTTTATAAACAAGTTTCATTTTAATCCGTTTAAAAGTCGTTTTTAGAAAGAAACATTTGTTTTTCTAAATCGTTTTAAAAGAAAAAACTAACTATTGTAATTTAACATTCATGTATTTTGTGAAACTCTGTAGTAAACAGTTTTATCCTATATTTGCAAAGAAGTGAATGCTATTTCTCTTTGTAAAGAAGTAAATGCCAATCTTTCAAAATAGTTATTAAAATATTGTTTAAATTATAATGGAAAGAAAACGAAAAGTTGATAGCCATAAGTGTAAATAATAGTCAAAAACTGTTTAAAAAAAAAAGGTAAAGTAAAACGAAATAGAAAAATGAAAATAAGACATTCTATTTAGGGATGTCCGTTTTTGCCGAAGCATTGGCTTCGGCAAGTTTTTTTTTAGGTAATTAAAGGTAATATGCTACTTTTATATTAAACATAAAATAATTTTATTGCTTACGATATAATAACTAAAATTCTACTACTTGTAATTTACTCCTTTACTTTGATTTCTTGATGTATACGTCATGTCTGCTTATCAAAATTAAAATGTATGCCTGCTTATTAAAATTAATGGGTACTTTTTTGTATTTTATTTAAGTTTTATGTTTAAATTTATTCCGCTGTTATATTTACTAAAACCTATTTTCACTGTAATTTGTATTTAGTTTTTTTGCGCTTGAAACGTATTCTAGAAAAATTATTTCTAATCACCACTCAAAAACATGAATAATTAATGGTTTATAATTACAGAAGCAAATAACATGCAGAAAATCAATAGCAACATGCTGCAATAATTGTATGCATACTAAACACTTTGAAAGCGCTACCAAAGGTAAGAGCAGACAAATCAGAGGTTACATCGTTTCTTGACTATGCTATAGCATAGTCAAAAAACGATGTGACCAGTTTCCAGTTGATTTGTCCCTATAGGGACAAATCAACTGGAATCAAAACTGTTGTTATGAACTTAAAACTGATTTTAAAAGTCATTTTCATTAATACAAAGATAATGTTCGTCTGAAAATTGCAATGATTCTCAAACCCCGTTTCAAATGAGATTTTTTAAAAAAACAGATCATAGCAAGTTTAAGGAAATTTTATATCAATGGTACTACCGCTTTTATTTAGAGTATCGATACTCTAAATGAAAGCAGTAGTACCCTTGACATAAATTTTGCTTGCTTGTTGTAAATGATCATTTGGAACAAGCAAAAGAAGTTAATTTCATTAAAGACTCGTGATGGCCCAATCAAAAAAGAAAGCATAGGCATGTACAGCTTCTTAGACTAAATGGGTAGAAATGAAAATGCTTTACAGAAATCTGAAAACACTGATGGAGGGGGAAAAAAGTATAATAGTAAAAATTCTAGAGAAAAAACTCAAAATTTAAAAGGAAAATCTTGCGAATAAAAAATATCTAAATAAAATTGTAATTTTTTTCATTTATTACAAATTTAATTAAAAACTGATGTTAATTTTTAAATTAACTATTATATTGCATTCAGCCCTGTTAAAAGAAATCTATTTACAGGTTTTTTTTGCACACCAGAATTGTTGTAGACAAAGTTATATTATATTTATATAATGGAAAGATTACAGGCCGTGTCTTCCTGTAGTGATGGGTCTGTTTGCATTTAATATTTTGAATTTTCTATTCAAAACATAATTATTTATCAACTATAAATGTTTATTTATAAGTTGATTAATAGTATTCTTTTTTCCTTACTTGATTAAAGTTTTAAAATATTAGTTTAAACTTTAAATTGATTCATAGTTTTGATTCAACATGGACGAAGTCAACTTCAATTTTAGCCTACCAACATTACCAAAAAATAAATGTCCTTATAAGTAGTGGGGTTTTTACAATTACACCTGATCCGATAAAGACACTAAAAAGTTGGATTTGGTAATGATCTCAATGAAAATTTTGTGCGCACCTCCCAGCTAGCACAAAACGTTCAAAGAACGTTGCGAACGTTCAAGAACGTTCTATGAACGTTTATAGAACGTGCTTGAACGTTCACAACGTTCGTCGAACGTTCTTGAACGTTGTGTGTTAGCTGGACTCCTTCATCCGTTAGCAGTGAACCTTTGTTCAGCACAACAGGAAACATATTTTAGGCCAAAAGAAACAGGCTGTTACCTGAGCATGAAGAACAGAATACGTTTTTAAACTATAGTTTGCCTGATTTATAACAGATAATTAATTTAAACGTAATAAACTAATAAGTATAATAAAAACAACTTCCTTTGTTTATTATTGTAATTTCTAAATGGTAATTTTATTATAATCCAAAGTACAAACTAATGTAAACTAAAAATTGTTTATAATATAACTTTAAAGTTTAGACTTGATTAAGTTGACGAGAAGCCAAATTAGTTTTATAATTCACACCCTTATTCAATTTCTAATTTGTAATTAGTAATAACTAGTTAATAACATCTTTTTTTCCAAGTAACTTTAAATTTGTTCAAGCAAGGCATTGCTACATCCTGAAATCCTATGACATTGCGTAACTAAAAAAAAACCTTGATGATTTGTTATAGTAAAATACCTTATGCGCTAAAATACTTTTAATTGCAGTACATATAATTTACAATATGCAGTACATATAATAGCTGTAGTAAAATGTTATAAATTGTTTTTCAGCAAATAGTATTATCACTAGATAGCTAGATTTGCAAGATAGCAAATTTATCTAGGTAAGTGCAAAAGCTTCAGCTTCGGCTGAAGCTTCGGCTTCGGCAAAACCTTAGCTTCGGTACATCCCTAATTTTATTATTAAGAAAATCAAACCAGCAATACCAGGTAACAAATTTGTCACCAGCTTTTTTTGATTTTTAAATATTTAGTTTAAAAAGATTTAGCGTTGTACACAGCGATGTCACTGGTTGTCCAGCAGCAAACTTAGCCTGAACTTTTGTTAATTAACTAAATTGAATATTTTAAAACACGTAGTTTTTAATCAGTATATGCTTCCTAAAACATCAAAAAGTCATTATATACATGCTTGTTCAGTAAAAAAGACAGGAAATATAAAAGGTGTATTGAACAGCATTGTGCATACTAAGAAAAATAAAGGGCTCTTGGCTTAAAGTTCG